GAATTGATTGTACTCTTCAAGCTACTTTAAAGATTTAGGGCAAAATTCTCAATGCAAATACCACTTTAGTCAATATATTAAATAGTAAGTTCTAACTTTCTCAATTACAGCTCATTATAAAACACATAAGCTCTATTTAAATCTTCTTCATTAAGTATTAATCTGTCTATGTTTACTTAAGAAATTTTAAACAAATTATAAGGGTCTGATAATGTGCCTGATCCTAAATTCTATTCATATGTGCCACAAAATACATAAACATGAGATTTTTTTGTAAAGTAACATCCATTATCACTTTTTAAGCAAAGCTAGCATTTCATTTTTTTTTTATCATATCTTATTTCATACCTTTCAAGTTCCTAATATTAGCTTATTATCTTTTATTTACATGAGTAACACTTTGTATCATATAAATCAAAGGCTCCATTCATAAAATATTAGCTCTTATCTTCACATGTTTCACATCTAAATTTAATTTTTTAATATTTATTAAATAATTTTTAAGGCCAAATTCGATTATATATTAATGTAAAAGTTTTTTATTTCAAAATATAATTTTAAAAAAATATTTAATGATTTAAAATAAATATTTATTGGAAAAATATTTTTTTATCTAAAGTAAAGAAATTCATAATAAAAGAAATTACAGCATAGGGCATAATTTACAGTTTTATTGCTTTTGATCGAAGCTAATCATCAAATTAATTTAATTAAAATATACAGTATTAAAGTACATTTGAGATATGTACATTTAAATAGAAGCTATTTCAGAGAACAAAAGATTAGAATTGCATTATACACAAAATGGTTGATCTTAATAAAATATGCAAGTTTGGCAATATTTTCCGCAGACAGGAAATACACAAGATGATTGAGTATTACTCAAAATTCTTCCTTGCTAGCAAACAGAACATAGCATCTCAACTTTAAATAGCTCATAGTATTAAATTCTTTATTAAAGTGTTAAGCTTAATAATATTTATCTTTCATAGATAAAAATATTAGTAAAATTGACTTTACTTTGCTAATACATTCCTACTTCGTAGCAATTAAGACATCCATTTGGACATGGAATACATCCACTTATACTTGGAATATATCCTTCTTTACATTAAATACATTAATACAATGAACCATCTTAATAATTCTAAAATTCATAGCAATTTAAACAATTCAACATCTTTATTTTAAATGAAAAAATAAAAAATAAATAAATAAAATAAATTGACATAAATATCTTTATTTAATACCAGATGGTTGCAATATTAATTTACATCACAAGATAATTAACCATTAGTTGCTATAATTAAGGGATAACCATATTAACACAAATTATACTCATAATTGCTACCTGCAAAAGTGACATTTGTTGGTTAAAAATAAGACTTACAGATAATAGAAGTATTATTTAAATACAAAGGAACACCAAGATTTAAGCATGT